CTTAGCAAGAGGCACGTATGTTAACCAGGTCAAAATTTCCTCCTGATTTTGAACTTGTGGTTAAGCATCCACCATTGGTACTGCCAGATTAGCACTCGGCACCTCGGTTATTGATATGTTCCTGAACACAATACATTGTGAAACATGCTAAATTCAATAGAGGTACTGCTCGCTTTCTGTCTTGCGGTTGAAGCACGACGTGAAGTCGATGACCGGAAGTACCACCTCAAGCCCTATAGAGAGTAGTCTTTACATGAAATAGGTAAATAGGAAACATAAACATATCTTAAGGTACAGACTTCACTATTAATTGTTGTCGTGTTTCCTTTAAATGCTTGTGGAAACCTTATGCACGAATTAAGTGGTAAAAACATGACCAGGTATCACAAGTTACAAAAATGGACTATTATTGGGGAGAATTTGTGGGCACTTGAAAGCTGCTTTGAAGTTAAGTAAAACAAAACGCTTCATGGTTTCCATTGCGGTCAATTTATAGACGCGAGTGAAACGAATTGGATGGGACCAACTTAAACTAAATGGGTAAGAACAAGACACAGGTGTGAACGAAAGTGAAAACAGACAAAACCAACGCAAACAGGTATCTACCACAACACCTAAACACCACTTATCACTGAGCCTCATTTGGGAAATAGTGACTTTCCAAACTCCACCATACTACATATGGTTCGCAAACATACTGAAACATTGCTGCTGCCGGGTGTATTGGTTCCGTAGCCTGAAGAAGGCAGTGAAGCAAGTGACCACCTCCGATTTTCCGACAGCCTAAAACCGAAATTGAAAGAGAACTTGAAAAGGAAAAAGACCAAATATATGCTCGTAGCTACGGGCAGCTGGACTACATATACGAGTTCCAAAATGCGCAAGTGTGTGTGTGCGTGTGCGTTTGCGTAAAAGATGACTACATGGCAGATTCAGTGAGAAGTCAGTTAGTGCAATCAACTCCGTGTTTTGCGGCAAGATCCCTCAACCTGACTAAAATCTAGTTTGTTGTACACTGTAGTTAGGCGGGTGACAACGTTAGCAACCATTATAACAAATTCAATCAGCAACTTGGTGCATCAGCAGTAAGTAGTGGCCAATCAGGAGCTTGTTTTGGTTATGTTGAACAAGCGCCTGATATGGTTAACACCATGACTGTCGAAAATTTGCCCTAGAAGCCTAGAACATTAAGCAAATAGTGCGAAGTACTTACTGAAGAGACTCTAAGCGGAGATGAGCAGGGAGGTTATGTGGTGGGTGACGTGGTGGAGGCATCGTTTCGGAAAGAGGGGTGCCACCTTAAAAAGGACAGTGGATAAGATTAATGACTTCCGACGATACCATTGACGAGGCTTCAAGTAGCCCTAGTGGGTCATCTTATTTTTCATTTGATCTTAGAATTTGCAACTAAGGCATTCTGCAACCCTACATTTCAGCATAATGAGTCACAATTTCATTGAAAATAACCTGGACTGCATTGGTTTGTTTCTGTATGTGAAGAGCTCAAACTCCATTTTATTTGAAGCATTGAGGAATTAGGACATCAATAATGATCTTCCACTTATAAAGGGGTTATATTTTTCGACATTAATTTGATTACCTATTTCTTTTGTTCATGCAGAAGATTTGCTATCAAGGGGCTCATAAAGTTTTCTCGCTACTATGGTCTCTAAAGAGAATAAATTCAACCCAAATTTCCAACGAAATGGCATTGTAGTGTTCTTCACAATCAATTTTGGAGGCGATTCGTGTTAACAGGTGTTATAAGAACAGTGGTAGACATATTTTAGTGCCACTCGTAATCAAGGTTGAGTGGTGAACACATTGAATTAGGTACAGCTGTTTACAAGATACCACATCAGGACCAAATTGAAAGGCAATAAGTTCATTTAACAAATTACAAAAGCTCCACTGCCATCATAGTGACTACGACCACTTCAGCTTTGGTCCGTAGATAAAGCCCGAACATTGGGCAAATGGGATGAGCTTTGAAGTTAAACAGAACAAAAGTTTCTGGAGTCCCTATTTTAAACCGTCAGTGTCTAGAACCGATTTTATCGATGATGACTACAAAAACGGCACCAATTCCACGAGCACTTGGTTCCAAGGTGCCTAATCGTCAGCAAACGTTTAATAGAAAAGCTATAATAGAAATAATGCCATCAATCGCAGATTTGAAGTCACCTGTCAATTTCGATGCAGTATAAGGTCGACTTCTTTTGTTTGGCCTACTCTGAATGCCTTCTGCAATCCTATCAAGCGTTTTTAACGTAGATACGGCATGAGTTGGAATTTACACCAAGCGGTTTCGTCAAATTCCCAAATTGCTATGATTTCAAATTGGTGATTGGGTAGACTGCACAAAGGCCCTTTCCACTTCCCACAGAGAGAATTTTAATTAAAATGCCGGATACATCAGCATCGTGTCCTTGTCGCCAAGCGCCTCATTTAGATTATTAATACATGTAAAGAAAAAACATTTAGTGAGCGACAGGGACCAATTAGGGTGTGACAAAAATGATCCGACAACCTTCTGCTCATACGCCAACCCTGAAAGTTAAATGAACGTCGTCTTCATATGTAAAAACTTAAATCAGATGCTTGAAGATGAGGGCACGATTACAGTATCTTTTTTGTGAGGCTGATATCTGGCAATTTAACTAAAATTTGATTCGCGACATTTGACTTCTTTATGCTGATCCCACTTGATATATTTTTTTTAAAACTTTGACGAAGAAAGTGGTCAGAGCTAGTATGTAGCCTCCCCAGTCATAGATTCGAAGTCACGACAATTTGATGTCTACTGCAAATCAATCAATCAAAGTGTCTCGTTACAAACAAAGCGGCAATGTAACCAACCCTTGTACCCAAAATAATCTCTTAAACAAACTTTTTGTTGTTCCTAACAAACGACAAATAGCAAAAAATGAAGAAGGTTCGGAAATTGTGCCTAAGTAGGATGTTAAAGGGTTTTGTAAATAAACAGAGATGTCAATTTCCAACATAGGGATGCAGAAATCCTAACAGCTTGTGTCATTCCCACAGCTTCAATCCAAAAACATCGCAAATTAGGAGAAAGGTCTGGATGCAAGTGTTTTTGGGCTGTGTTCCTGATACAAATCTGCTGATCCACTAAGGTTCACAAGGAAGGCTGGCTGCAGGAGACGATTAGGGGTGGCGGTTCAATGCAACAAACTTCTCCAAGCAGTTCTCAACACGCACAATTCTAGGCCTTCTTTGACGTGTTAGTCTTCTCCAGAGGAAGAGACAACGCATTACAAAGAGGTCTTACCCCAGATAACCCAAGCAGTAATTATCATGGAAAACAAACCTAATGCCATACAGCACTGCAAATGTTTTGGTAGGCACTTTTAATAATCTGAAGGATTGATTAAAATGTACTGGAGGAGCATTAAAGATAATGGTAAGGGGGTGTGCTGGTGAATCGCCAAGTCTCAAAAATGTTGGTCATTTCCAAAAAAATTCCATATTACCGGTACGATTGAATCAAAACTGAGTAGGCAGGTATTTATTACAACTACTTTCTGCTCCATTACCTCGAAAAATAGAAACAAAGTCACCGTTGCCCCGAGAAGCTCTAACTTTCAGAGATGGTACATGAAGGTTGAGACTCAATCCCTAATTTATTCGCAAATTGTTTCGAGGCTGCAGACACAAGTATTACCTAATGCTACCGACCTAGGGGTCCCAAAGCTTTCTGCAGAATCATGAGAAAAACCAAAGTATGTAAAGAGTTGCAGTATTCTACAAGAAGCATTTAATGTACATAGGAATAAAGAATTGACCCGAACAACAAATTACTACAAAAGAAGGTTACCCGAAATGTATCAGGTGAGACTCGTACAAGATTGATTCTTCGAGGGTTTCAAGCAAACTTCCATAGGTATTTTAGACTAAAATAATTTGCAGCGTGAACATAAAGCAATAAAAAACATTTTCAATAACAATGTATGACCACCATCACTGTGCAATGAGATGACCACAAGCAATAGGAAAAAACCGCATTACGAGGATTTGTAGCTGCAAGAACTATGTACTTTTGGAAGCATAGTTTTATTAACTAGAAGTAACGATGTTTAAATTGATTGTGGATCCAATGGTAATGGATCAAGGAGCACTCGCCTCTGTGTTACTACATCCGGGGCATTTCGCAATAAGTATTTGAATGAAGGCTTGGCCATCAGGGTTCTTTTGCTACTAATAGACTGCATAGACGTCTCTCAAACCGAAAAAGCAGTGGTTTTGGCCGAAATTAAGCGCGTTATAAAACATATCGTATTAATTGCACTTAGGAAAAAGTGAATAGGGTTCAATTGGAACCTTTGGGAGCACTGCACCTCGGCAATGGGATGAAATAGTCAAAAGTCAAAAAACCGGCCTAGAAAAAGCGATCCATAACAAACTGAAGGAGAGAACAATCAGGTACGGCGTATTGAGGTCTAGTGACAAACAAATCTGGGTAATTCAAAACACAGAGCACACAAGTGAGTGGATAGTTGGACAACCAGCGGCGCAAACATGGACACATACACACGCACCGCAAGTGTGATCAAGCTTTTGATAGCAAAAGACAGGAACTACGGGTACGAAAGACAGCTATACTGGAATATCTACTATAAAACATCTCAGTAAAATCGGCCATTTCTGGTAGAGATAGTGTAGACTCACATTGACTGCAGACACCACTACCACCAGTGCTCCCACTACCTCCTCGACATAGTTTTGATCGCTCCATGGTGACGGGCGCGGCGACCCCAATTGTTGGTGGTTGTTGCTGTTGGCGTGAAGCGGCAGCCTCCTCTCCAGGTATCACCCGCAGTTCACCCATGGCTGTGACAAGAGATGAGGTTTCCGTTGTGGTGGTTGGTTGTCGTGTGGTTGGTGCCGCAAAACGAGGGTTGGGACTAGCAGGCCCCGCCGAGAAAACCGAACCAAAACGAGAAGGGACGGTCACCGGACGCACTGGGCTTAGTTCCACGGGAGCCACGGAGGAGATTGTCGTTGGCACTGTAGCAGCAGAGGTTGACGACTCACCGCCACTGAGGAAGCGAGAACGTGTTTGATATAGGCGACGGCGTGGAGACGCGCAGAGGGCCTTGAGACGCTGCACAGACGAATAAGAGGAGGCAGAGGCGGGGGTTGTAGGAGCAGCGCCAGGACCAGCACCGATTCGGTCCCGGAGACCAGGAACGAAGACATTTGCAGCTGGGGAACAATTACCGAAGCTATAATCACGCTGAAAAGTAACAAACGATGTTGATTGGTAAGTTTAAAAACCTTGGAGAACCCGCAATACACAACCACAACAAAACGAAATTCGACGAGTATTTGCGAAAAACTGTCTATTTGGTCGGTCCTTCAAAGACTTGGTCAAAATTTAGATTTAAGCAAGAACTTCAAGACAACACTATGAAGCAGTGAAATGAAGATTGGAGTAACCACCATATATAAACGAAATTAAAGTCGGATACTTACGATAAGATGCTTGCTTGTAAAATAACTATGTGAGGCAAATGTACGCAATAAATCACGTGAACGAAATCATTAATTTCTTCAAAAAAGGGTCGAGTCGCAAATTTACGACTTAGAAAACAGCAAATTCTCATGACAGACATGAAACATTGGAAAAACAAACCTTTTTGTCAAGACATTGGTGGGTTTGCGAGAGCCAAGAAAAAATTTCCTTTATGAGGCTAACAAATCATACTACAACTGACGACTAATAAGGATGGCTTCGACAGAGATAACAATTTCATGATCTCTCTAACCCCACAAGCACCAAGGAGAAGAAAGACGCAGGGCTAGAAAGTAGTTTGAGACATTAAATCAATAAACATGTTTCAATTTCGACGCTGAATTGTCACTGCCAACTCGTAGTCTGTATGGCCCAGCAAGTACACTCTTATAACCAGGTTTCTCTCATGGGAAAAACAATAGTGCTCATTAAATTCCCTGAAGGGCATGCATAATAATGAGCCCCGACATCTTCCACGCGCAAGTAACGCCCATACTTGGACGCAACGCCATTACCATCACGCTCAAAATTCATGACTTAGCCTTATTATCGACTAATTTATCAAAATATCCGTGCACGTCAGGGATACGCCATAGTTAATCTTGAATAAGCTTTTTCGGGTTACTAGACTTTAAAAGATCACGTTCATCACACATTCTGAACCCAACAATCAGAGTGTGCCAATAAATCCGTCAACTCAACAACCTAAATCTCTCCGTTCCACTGTTAGTCAACAATAGATACAAGACTAGGGCTTAATTAGCCTTACACATTTTCGTTCCAAACACGCACGCTTTCCGACTCACCAAAGTCGTGATTTAAAAAAAGATTACCACGCATAAACACAAGCACAAATATTTACACATCGGTGAAGCATACCAAAGTGTGCACGCACAGTACAGTGATGGCGATGATTAGCACTGACTCCCCGAGACGAACCTCGGTGCACCGACTGTATGCCCAAATCCTACTTGATATTGTTTAGAAAAACTTGAGGCAGCTAATTTACAATGCATTAATTACAGATTGGGGAGCCAAAAGACTACTTCAAAAAAGATCATGATGACGTAAAAAACATTGCAGCCCACTGCTTTGCAATGTTTGGTCTGGGCATATAATTGAACACAACAGGTCATACACAAAGGAACGCTGTGGAATAGCTGGAGAAATTTAAGTAAGCCAACTTGGTCAATTGGAATACGTTAAGTGGGAGTTCAATAACTGTAAGGTCATTGATAGCGAATGGTGCACATTTAATGCACGCCTACTTATTTCTTGAGCTAGTACAAATTTTAAAGGTCAATAAAGGTGACAATAGTAATGTCACGTTACTTTAAAAAAAAACTTACTACCACAGTAGAGAAGGATTCACTGCATGCGTCTTTGGACAATAAATCATACCAACTTACAGCACTTAATACTATACGTTAGTCAGTATCAAGCCCGATAACACCCGACATTTCATACCAAAAACTTCATCGAATTTGTGCATAGTTTCGCAGATAAGATTACCCCCTAGTTGTAAGATCGAGAATATGTCAGATACCTAGAAAGTTACCAGCATTTAAGAAAGTAACGTGCTCCAGGCGACGCTATCTTTAGACTAAAAAATTGATTTGACGAAGAGACGACGTGACGTATTACAGTACTTAATAAGGGTACCCATTAGTAACATCACATTGTTACACGGAATAAACATTTTCACATTGCTAAGCGGCGTCTATTATTAGTAGAAAGACTACAATTTTATTAAAATTTCGTCAACTCGAAAAAACTTGTTTACCACCATATAATGAAAGGCTAGTCTGCGGATGGAGTACAAATTGTACACCTGAAGTTTTTCGGCTTTAGGCACAGCTACAATGCCAATAATGTAACAAGCGTCATCATTTATGCATAGCCTAACGTTATTGATATCTTAACTTGTCGGTGCTTGTTTAAAAAAGTGTAAACAGCAAATTCGATAATTTCGAATGATCAAAGTGCCAAAGACTAAACGAATTAGACAGGAATATTATTGTCAGTTGAAATTAACAATTACATTCAGGAATCAGTAAATTCAAAACAGGAATGGCGTTCAAAAACAACTGTTCAGGGTATAAAGAGAACGAGCGTGGTTGCTCTATCAACATTTCAGATGAGAACTAAAGTCAGTGCATAATCATCCCCAGCAAAATTCTGTTCATATTGGCAAGAGACCCACCCCATGAACAAATGTTTAATGAGCTATTTGGCTTTATTCAGCAGCTAAAAAATATAAATGGCATGTTAGACCCCAGGAAAACTCCAGTTCCCTAAACAAAGCAGTGGTCTTTACCTTGGAAAAAATAGATCATAATGACGGGATTTAGCAAGAGTGATCTACGATGAGGTTTTCATTTTCAATAAAGACTAAAAACGGTATTTTGTACAGCTCAATGGACTGAACGTCACTTTGCTTCGTAGACACCCAGGGATGATTAACCAAAGTAGTGTTGAATACGAATTTAACAATTTCGGATACAAAACTGGCTGCAAGTTTCGAGTATAAGGGGTAATCAGAAGAAGCATGAGATAAAGTACACGATCCACAGAAATGGTCAATACTATCATTTACCGAATTTAAATAAATACATCTTGAAATCTGACCGGCAGAGCTACTTCACCTGGTTTACACTCAGATCTGGCAAAAAATCAACAAACGCTGCAGATGAGTTAGATAATTGTAGGCAAAAAGGCTGTATGCGTAACTACAGCCATAATTGATCAATATTCACTTCCTTAAATCATAGCATTAGGTGTTGACATCGCGCACTTCGTCAAGCATTGGGTCGATGTTTGTACGATGATTACACTAGTGAACACATGAAGAAACTGATCAGGAAAAAAAAAACAAAAAATAATGACTTACGCAGCTGGAGAAGAGATTAGGAGCGGATTGACCCACATAACCCTGGCGCATTCTGAGAAGATTACTTCCTATTGAGTGGCCTAAAATAAGTGATGAAAGGATTGGAAGCACCTTTGACACACGTGCAATGCATCTCATCCATTTATCGCTTTTCCCTTCCTTGATATACTTAAAAAAGACAACAAATCGCAGGCATAAGGTATAAGCCTAAACATGATAGCCGCGCTGTCGGCCACATTGTATTCAGGAAAATATCTCTATGTAAGACGGGCACAACTACGATTAAGCCGGACAGAATATTTCAAACGAAAACTTAACTACAGATTCCCAGGACCAGATGTTGTTAATGATGAATGATGACGAAGGACAAGCGAAGGAGGCAAGTTTAAAAAGCACCACAAAACGTGCCGAAAACATGCAATCATCAGTTGTTTCAGTACAACACACAGATGCATATGCAACCCAGCAATATAGTGACAGCCCACACGCTAAGTTTAATAGAAAAAAAATCATAGCAAGTAACTAACTAGTAAATTGAGGATAAGCGCTCGATCCTGGACTAGCGGTAGACAGTGGGTTGCTCAGTTGGGCTTGATAGGCTGGAGGTACCAAAAGAAGTGAAGACCTGTGAGAAAGTGACGAGGTTGCTGTGGAAGACGCTGCTGCATCCCAAACACAACCCATACCACCACCGCCGCCGCCACCAACTTGAAGCCCACATGCTCTATCTCCGGAACGCCTTCGATGCTTGTCAAAAAAAGAGCACTGTGGAGAAACGGAGAAGAGTGAATTACTAGTCCCGGTGGCCAGAATTGGAGCTGGGGATGAGCGACCACCAACAACCGGATTACCCACGACTTCCATCGAGGAGAGAAAGTGGGAAGGACTGGGAACCGTAACCGAGAGTGAAGCAGGCCGAAATCTCGAAACACGGCAGGAGTCACCCACACCAAGCGAAGATGTCCGTTGGAGGATAGGAGCCTGATCAATCATGTTGGAAAGGAGTTTGGGTGTTGGGAACTGTGCACTCTCAGAATGTGTGGAGGTAGGGATTGAGGCACCACCAGCATTCTCTTCCTTCTCTCCACCACCCATTTGCTGTTCACCTTCACTAAGAATTACGTTACTGCACCGCACAACAGGACTCTCACTAAGGCTTGAACTAAGACTCCGATTTACTAACGAAAAGTCCGAGTACTAAAATACGAAATAGAGCACATTTTAACATGCAGATCTAAATGGTTCAAATGAATAAACTGCCTAATAGATTGCCTAATAAACTGGTATAATAGACAAAAGCCTCATTTAAACCTCAATCGCAGCCACTACATAAGTAAATTAGGAATATCAATTGCAACAACACCCGTTTTTCATGTAGCATGAATACATTTATCCCGTCAATGAGTAGACAGTAGTCTGTACTGATCACGTTTTAGTAATTTAGCGATTTGTTGGATTACATGCTTTATGACAGTAACTGGAACAAATTGCAATTGATATAGGAATTATTCTACCATGGTAAAGAGTGAGCAGATGATCGCATTAACCATCTTTGATCGCTCACGCAGTAACGATGGTGAGGCGTAATTGCACGTAACGTGGTAAAGTGAGCATGGCCCATCACATGATGAAATGTGAATGCATCAATGTGATTTCACGGAAACCTAAGAAGCATAAAATCTGTGGTATTCAAAATGAAGTCGTAACAAAGAGACTGAGCTTAACGATGTTGGCCTCTCATAATTAAACAAAGATCGGGATCTGTGTGGAACGTCAACAACTGTTTAGGTGATCAAAATGCACTTTCTCACTGAACTATAACCGTGACGAATAGTACTTAAAATGGCCAAGTGATAATAACTAAAGTTTGTTTTAAAATAATAAATACTAACCCTGCGGCTTCGGTAAGTTGGAGCGGGGCTTCGAGAACCTTTTTCACGTTCATACTTCTGCAGGGATGCCACCAAATGATCAATTTCGGCTCCACTCAAACCGTCTGTGAGCATCGATCGCAATGCATCGCAGGGTGTGTGTAAAATATCCTCAAGAGTGCACTCATCAGACAGGCTGTGAAGCGCGTTATCCAAACCAAGATTCTGAAGAAATTGAATAAGTCGAAGTCTGCCTTTGGGAGAACAATGATTCAACGCTGGCCTGCGTCTGCGAAGCAAAGGACTACACTTAGCGCTACGACTCCGGTCAGTAACGCTCAGTGAAGGAGCTTCGGCAGGCTCAATTTTCGATGATGAACGGGGATTTATTTCGGGGGGAACGTCGGGCATTACAGGTACAGACAATGGGGACTTAAAGCCTTAGAAAACAGATATAACGAAGAACACTGATAGCAGTTTGACTCCATTAAGGTATTCGTTTCCAAAAACCCTAGCGTTTTACTGGAACCACATTCAACAGACTCTGAGAAAACATTCGACCCAACTTAAACCGTGAAAATATCCGAGTCTGTGCCTTCCGATATTCACACGCTACGAATATGAAATCAGTCATTTCATCGGTAGTGAACTTGTGTGAACGTTACAGACTACTACTTTTTAAGGTACTAAAATATGCACTACTTTAAAAAAGGTTAAAAAAATAAGAAAAATCTGTACTATAATTAAAAATTTGGCTTTAGAAAGAAGATTTAGAAACAGGAATTTAAATAAAGAAGTATTTCTTTCCCATTCGCATTTAATTCGATATATTAAGTGTTTCGTTTTCCAATTTGCTAATATTTTTTTATAAAATCGCATTTAATTAGGCCATTTTATCACTACTACGGAAAATGTGCCTCATATTCTAAAAATTTTAAATGACATTGATCAAAAAGCGGGCGAATTTAAGGATGATAATTCTCTTTTTCCTAACGACCATGCTAATTTTTTTAACGCTTTTTGTTTAAATATAAAATTACACTGAATCTATGCCTCGAAATCCTCCCACCAGTGCTTCAAGTCTCACTCTTTTTAATCATTA